AACCACTTTGATGGCCAGTTATCATCTCTTTCTTCTATGTGCTGTGTTTCTTCAAGATATTGGAAATAATGGCTCTCTACAACTTCCTGTTCTTTATAACCCTAGTATAATTTTATTTTTTGCTATATTTCCTAATCTGCTCTGCCAACCATTTAGCTCATTAGATAGGTTATGTGCTGCTTTACTCTGTCCCTCTTGTCTCAATATGTCCTGTCAGTAGCAAATTTTCCAAGCCCTCTTTCCTCATTTTGTTAACTAGAAATTTAAATTCTCTCTTTTTGAGTCTCCATATATATGTCCTTTTTGTTTCCATTTTCTTTGAAAGTTTGTCATTGCTCACATGTTCAGTCCAGGGTATTCTTGGCATCTTTTGTAGAACTTCATCTCTGTTGCCTCCAGTCTCTTATCTATCTGTGATGAGATTGTCCAGCATTCATTGCCATATAGGAGTACTGATATTACATAAAAGTTCAGTACTCTTTTTTTTCTTGTTTCAAATGAAATTTTCCTGTTTCTTAATATTCTACTTACATTTTGAAAAGCATCCTTCACTATTCCAATGCACCTTTGGATTTCAGTGTCATTTCCTGTCCCCCTGTTAAAACACTTCATAGATATTTAAATTTTTGCATTTGTTTAATTTTGGTATCTCCAATTTGTAATTCACATGTTGGACTGTTTCTTTTGCTGGCAACCATACATTCTGTCTTCTTACAATTGATGTTTAGTCCTTCCTTTCTCATTTTCCTTTCTGTAGGAGTTCCTGTAGTTTTCTTTCTGTATCTTTCTCATTAATAAGAGAAAAAAAATCGTGTTCTGCTCATACCTATCAGAGCTGATACAATTTACTGCTTGATTGTACTTTTAGGGATTTTGCGTTTGCATTTCTCCATTGTTATATTACCAATTATGAAAAAGACTATTTTTGCCCCAGTCAGTTTACTTTTTTATATAATGGAATTATATTTGAAATTACTATGGAAATGTAAGACCCTTTTGCCAATAGACCTTTTAAAAAATAGATTTTTTAATATTAATATAAAAATTACTTTCAGTTGGTTGCTTTAACTTCATAATGTCAAAAGAAATATTACTATACAAACTTTATAGCAAAAAAATATTCTGGCACCAAAAGAAATACAGTATTTTTAGCAAAGACATGATATTACTTGGTTAACTTTGTTCAGAACCTTATATCAAACAATGTGTTCTGACAGACTTATTCTTGTAAGTCATCATAGACATTAAACTATCAGCATTAAATTTGGTTTGATTTTTTTTGTAATTTTATTCATTTTTTTTAAATATTGTAAAGATTGCTTTCTCCTCAAAGAAATATTCTCCAATCTGTAAAAACAGAAAAATTACCAACATTAAATGTAATCAAATTTCTTTCTTTATGCCAATCTTTGTTCCTCATTTAGCCTAACTTCATAATTCTTCACAGTTTGCTTATAAAATTGTTAAAAAATATTTTCCTTAAATATCCTATTAATCCCTATTTTATCAAAGCACAGCTGTTATCATGACAATTGATGAAGGTGTGCCAGTTGGACTTCAGAGATAAAATAATATTTTCGCTATGAAGATTTTACTTTATGGTATTAATGTCTCATTAGTTTAATCAAAGCTTAATTTACACTTTTTGGGATCAAGTGGGTTGTAATCATTCTCAATTAAAAGGTTTCCATAATTAATCATTTTCTTCCTATTCCAGTGATTTTTTTTTTTTTTTTTTTTTTTTTTTGTCAGGAAAATTGTAATATTGTCATTTCTTGAAAAAGTGAAATCTCATAAGAAAATTATTTTCACTTATTCACTTGTTTGTATTTTCCATATTTTTTTATGAAAAACCTGTTTTCACTAGAAAATATTTTGCTATGCACAGTTTTGATGAAAAACAATTTTGGAAAAACAAATCATTTTACTTGAACAATTAATTTATTTTTTTTACTTTTATTTCACTAATATATTTGAGATAGTGATTTGAGAATAAGTAAGGTGTGTTGTACATGTTAATGCATATTGTGTTAAAGGCTATTAGAAAAGATTTTTTTATTCTTTAATTAGCTTGTTTACATTCAATAAAATGTATATCTGGATTCATTAAGTGTAGGAATCATCTAAATGTTTGTGATTTAATACTTTTGGTAAATACATACAAAATTACAATATCTGAATAAAAAGTAATCTTTTTTGATCAGGGAGTTTTTATTTTTCTGATAAAGATTTCAAGAATCTGAAGCCTTCACTTTGTAATTAACAATACATGTGTAATATTAATGAGCATTTGGTGTATGCAAAAAGAAACCTCAGTGTCTAGCAGTTGTTATTAACATGGACAAAAATAGCACATTTTCCAGACAAATTACAAGTTAATCTATGTAATAAGCCATACAACTGCCACCCTATCTAGAAGATTAAATGTTAAGGGACATTAGTCTTGATTATCACTATATAATACAATTAAGTTAATTGTTAAAACCAGGTTGCCAAAAATGAGTAATAATAAAATAACTTTAAAAGCAAATCCTGCAAAATAATATTGGTATTTCTTTTCCTGATTTTTTTTTTCTACCACTTTTGCTCTTGGAACTCTGGTTAATTATCTTGAATTATTTTGAAAAAAAAAATTATATAATTATTATTTTCTCTCTCTCATATATATATATATATATATATATATATATATATAATAATAAGATTTTAATTGGACTTCATTTAAGTCTGATTTTTTTTTTTTTTTTTTTTTTTTTAAGGAAGTTTGAAAAAAATTTATTAGGATACTTTCTACATGACCAAATAAGTCTTTCTAGAAAGACTCAGTAATCACTGTTTTTTGCATTGTCTGTGCAAATGTATTTAAAAAAAGGTAAATTTTGCTAAGGTTTCTTTCCTTGTAGCTTATATTTTAATATTCAACTGTTTTCAAATTATTTTAATCTACTCATTGTAATTTAATCAGCTATCTTCCTTTTAATCAATTACTAAGCTACATTACTGTTCTGTGTACTTTAAGCATGTTACATTACTACAATTGTCTTTCTTTTAGGATTGGATCTGCTTTCACATATAAGAATTTTCAAATAATGTCAAAGATATTACTATGAATATATTATTTTTTATTTTTTACTGAAAATAGTTTACATAATTGATTTTCAGTTTTTTTTTCTCTTAAAGTTTGACTTGTACCAGTAAAAAGTAAAAAAAAAAATCACAAGTATAATTGTCACTTTTGATCATCTCCACTAACTCACAAGTATTTGGACATTAAGTATCCTAAAATGCAATATATTACAGTATGCTTTTCAGTCATAAAAATAGCCAGCATAATTAATTTTATCTCTGTATAGTCACTCTCCAGTATCTCATAATAAATTTATATTATGCTAGTGTTTACAAATTAAAAAAAAAAAACGAATCTGCTATAAAGTACTCTCCAGTAAAATTGCTTTAATAATTAACAAAATAATTGTCACTCATGAGATTTGTAACAATTCTCATATCTAAACAAGAGGATTTTAAAAAAAATATAAATATTAAAATATTCTAAATAAATAAAGCTTTATTTATATGTATACATAATTTTGAAAATAATCTTTTCACACAGATAATTTTATTGAAATATTTTTTAATCATATTGTCTTGTTAAAATAAATTGTAAACTTTAAAAAAAGATCCTTAACTTGTTTAAAATTTTGAAGAATTAAAAAAAAAAACAAAAAAAAAAAAACAATGCTTGCTATATGATCAACCACTCTGCAACATCAAGACTAATAGTCTTTTATAGGAGAAAGGAAGGAACAGTCTTTAGAGTTTGTTGGTATTAAATAGATTTAGAGATTATGTATATTTCTCATTATTCCCAAAATCAATATAAAACTTTTTGTAGTTAAACAAAAGTTCTAGTTTCAAACCTCAGCAAAGACAAAAAATTACATGGACACTATTACTGATATACTTTTGAGGGACTGAATTTATATCAATACTAACTTAAAAGTCACCTTATCAGGTGGCATTTAAGCTAGCTTCTTCAGAGGACTCTTGATTGGGTCTTCATCATAATAGGTAGGGAGGAGTAAATGGGATAAGAAACAATAAACTACAGAAGAACTTACAATTGATCGCTTTATTTAAGTATTGCATTAATATTTAAGTTTACCTTTTAAAAGTTCAATGACAATTTTTCTGCTGCCACTTAAAGACAATTTGATGTACGTAGGTCCTTACTTTCCATACAAACAATTATTATTTCATGGGTGACTTTAGCTGGATTTTGCAATTAATTTTGATTATTCTCAAATTTATTTCCAAGTTATAAAAATTAGCATACAAAAAAATTTGTTGCAAAATATCATGTAAAAAAATTGCCGAAAGCAATCATAGTAATGAAAACTTGGGAATCCACAATTTCAGGATTGCAGGTCCAGATCCAGCCCAAAATGTTTTCAATTTGCTCATGGAGTTGGCCTTATTCCAAAATGGTATGATATGTTGGGCTATGGCCTCTCAGAGTAAAGTTGAAAATGTGTGACACACTGACATTCGCATTTATTATGTAGATGACTATTCTCCTTTTTAGGTTATTAATAAATATAACTTATTAAATCTATTTTCATTAGAATTCTCTTATTTTTCACATTGACCTTTGAAAATTAAGCTCTGTCATTTGGTTGAAGGTAAGTTCAAAATGATATATTCCTTGAAAATTTAATTTTAGTAACTTGAATGACCTGGTTTTCTGAGATTAAATGCATCTTTAGTCATGACTATTTTTTGCAAAAAATGTTTTTTTATTGGTGAATAGAAATTTTATCAACCTGCAAGATTTACCATATTTAATTATACCAAAAGACTTGTCATTGTCATTACTGTATTTTCATATTCCTACCATACTGTCTTTGAATGTGCATGGATATTGTAACATAAGTATAAGACTGACTGTCTTTGTTCTACAGTTTTTAAATTATCAACTAAGTCCTAATTCTTTTCCTTACTAGCAAAATATGAATCCATTTTATGAGGTAGGACACTTCTTTTGCATTTATTTCTGCTTGCAGTTCTCTCTTTATTTATAAAATAAAATATCACAACTCTCAAATCACAATCTGCAAATATTTCAACTTTTTCTTATCTTTTACCTGGCCAAAAAAAGAAAAATTTCATTTGTAATGTTTTATATCCTTTTGTTAATTTTCAATTTAATTATTATTAGGGGTGGAGGTTGATCTTATTTCACATTTTTTGTCATTGGAGATGGGTTTTTAAATTTTTATTTTAAACATTTCAAAATTCAGAAAAAATAAGGTCTTTTTGAAAAACAAAACAAACATATATATATATATATATATATATATATGGTTTAGGAGCACCGTATGTACTGTAGTGATAGCAAGTTTTATGTCTTGAGCAAAATAGCCTGACAGAGCCCGTCCCTTCAGACAAAAAAGCATATTATACCACAACTTGCGTAGTATTTAATATTACCCAAAGCATTATCCTGTAATTCATATAAACTCGTATCTTACTAAGAAAGGCATATGGGTAATTTTTTTACACAAAGACATTTATTTTCAAAAATAATAAAAATGTAGACTCCTCAAAACAAAATGTTAAATCATAGTGTAAAAAAAATAAATATATTTAACATTCTTAATTAAAATTGTGTAACCAAGTGTTATATGTAGAAACCCACCTACAGTTGAACTCAATTTTTAATTCAAATCGCCCTTTCTGTTTAAAGGAAGGAATAATTAATTATTTCTAGCATTCAGTAAAATCCATAAGCAGTAACTGTAATAGCTTACAAGATAAAATTAGCTATACATATGGAATGTTCTAAAGGAACCATTGTTTGTCCCAAATAATACAGGATTTAATAGGAAGACAAATATGGGAGACAGCAACTATAACCTTGCTTTACATAAGTGAGATGACTACAAAAAGTTAAAAGATTTATGGCTAATATAAGATGATTTTTCATCTTAAAAAAAATCTCTCCATGTGAAAAAAACTGACCAAAAACTGTAATGACATTAAAGATAGTATCAGCAGCAGTTCTAAAATAAAATTCATATCAGCAGCTCGAATATAAAAAAAACAAGTGAACCCTAAAGTAACTCTCTTCTTCCTGGGTTTCTCCTTCTTTTGAACTGTATGATGTGAACTTCCTAAACTGAAGCTAAAAGGGCTGTAAACACTTCCATACTAAAACACGCCAACAGAGTAAGTCCCCACTATAACATTAATGAACATTACATTGTGTATGCAGTTTATGTTTAACAAAAGAAACTTTTAAACTTTCCTTTTGTTAATGTTCTTTTAATGCTATCTTTGTATTGCAAATCAATTGGTCTGTTATTTTGTGCATGTACTCTTTTCACCAGTATTGTTCTATGTGCTATAAAATGTTCCTTACACATTTAATTATTGAAGTAGCTAATCACCAAAACTAGTGACCACAACAAAAGCTTTTATAATAAAAATAAAAAAAAATAGTGTTATTTTTCCTCTAAAAAAAAAAAAAAATTAGTGTATTAAAACTTCACTCTAGTAAGGTTTCACAAGTTTTAATTTAAATGTATTTTTCTTTAAAATAAATGAAACTGTGCTACTTTTTGCAATATCTGTCTATATTTCTGAGATGAGGTATTATGTACACAATTTAAATTATTTGGACTATTGTCCTCATCTTTGTTGCCATATTTATTACAATTGTAATAAATATGGTGACAAAGATGAGGACAATAGTCCGAATAATGTAAATAGTGTACTTTCTGCAAGTATTACTTACACTAACTACATATATATCTTCCTTTTTGAATTTCATTTCTTAAATCTTCATACAGGATTTTCTCATAATTTAGGAGGAAAATTGACTTTGTAATAATATTTTATGATAAAATATTTCATAAACTTTAACGGTGATGAATAATAACATTTAAAATATATATTTTTCTCTTTCACAAGATTTAGAATTGTCTGGAATAATACTGCCACTGACCAACCAAGTGACCCCTATTTCATTTTTGTCATTTTTTTTTTCTTCTCTCTTTATAATTATACAAAGCTAGCCTATTAAATTATTTAATTTTTTAAGACGGTGTTTGAGGTAAATAGCAAATTATCTCGTTAATAAATAATAAGAAAAGATAAAATTATTTTTATGAAATGAGCAATGTCTTTGCCCTATTCTAAATTGCTTTTATTATATTATATATTGTTTTCCATTAACAATTTTTTTTTCTCAGAATATTTTTACAAAATAATATTCTACATCATTAAGTGGTGAATAAAAAATATTTTTATGTGCTACAACCATTTGTTTATGCATGCACATTTATTTTTACAAATTTGTAAAATTATAAAAAAAAAACCCAATAAACTTAAAACAAAAAATTGGAGGGACCCAAATTAGCTGCTGCTATTGAAAACATACCTGTATTTTCTAACAATGGCCCTGAACTGTTTTTTTTTTTTTTTTTTATCTGCTTGGAAGCCATAGTTTATGCATTACCTCAAGAAACAGCCACGTGTCTCCTGATAAACCCACCACAAACCAACCTGTACAACAAATTAAAATGAATTAATACTCTGAACTTCACTTATCTGAGAGGCGGAGACTGCAACAATTATTAGAAATGGAAACGTTGGGCAATAAAAAGCCATCTCAATATGTTGGATGATAGTGTTTACAGCATATATTTATTAGAAAGCTGCCACAAATGGTGCAGGTATCCTTAATGGCAATAGGAGACAATGTACCCATAAATAAGCTGTGCGATATGGTTGATAAATTGATGAAAGTAATGACCCAAGATAACCTAGTTGCAAGTGCACAGACTCTGAATGATGGCATCACCCAAATACAGGAGGAAAATCAATTATTGAAAAGGCAAATAGGTGATTTGACTAAAAAAAATTCAACAATTGCAAAGACATCAGCATCACAGTTCATAGAGAAGCAGACAACAATACAATAGCAAGTCAAAAGGAAGGCACAATATCTGTAACTACCACAAGAGAGATTTGGTGACAGGAGTATAAAATGTACAAGTCCTAGGGAAACAAATAAACCAACAATCTTTGTCAGCAGGACACATTGGCATTTCAAACTCATGTTGACTCTTCCACATAATTGACAGAAATTCAAAAACAAAGTTCCTTATTGATAGTGGAGCACAAATATTGCTAATGTCAGCTTCCCACTCAAAAGGACCTGGGAAAACTCATATTACAAGCAGTAAATGGTTCAATTATCCACATATCTGGACATAAATGCATGACACTTAATTTGTTGCTACACCATTTCTTTGGCATGGTGAAATTTTATAGGAAATTTATCCCCCTAGAGGACAATAATTCTTCATTACAAATGAAGAAAGTATATATTCCACAAGTGAAACATTCAGTTTGGTGTGACATTTCTACAGGAAATTTGTGGCTTTTTATTCCAAAAATTCTGTGTAGAAATCTAGGAACACAATTTGAATACACACTTTTCACTTTTCTAACTAACCTGCTTGGAACAACCAGAATTCATACAACTGCTTACCATTAACCATGCTGTTTACCATTAACCATGCTATCATGCTGTTAACAGCATGATAGAATTGTTCTCGGAAGGAATCCCTGAAAACCACACTGAATTATACTTCTTGGCTTCAGAATATTCCGTTAGTACATTTAGAGCTAAGAACAGCTTTAAAATCTGGTTCACTGAGTTCTGCAGACAAAATTGTATATGACACACCTTTACATCTACCAGCAGAGTTAATAATCAAACCAAATGAACCACTTTTGGATCCTGTTTCATTTGTAGATATGTTGTGATTGAACATGTCTCAAATAACATTTCCATCTCCTAGAGAATCGACCCACGTAACATAGAATCACTCAAAAATTCCAACTTTGTGCAACCAAACATCCTTTACAACAAGCTTAGAGGTCCTTACAAGGTAGTAAAGTGTACAGAGAAACATTTCACTGTTGTGATGAATAATAAACAAGAGAATATGTCTATTAACTGACTAAAAACGGCACATGTAGAAAATATTGGTGATGATTCCTTAGGCACCACCAAGCAGACACAACCTAGGACTAGGACATATTAGATGGTCTAAGAAACTGTGTTCTTACCTAACATAATAAAAGTTCTCTTTCTTGAGATTGTCGTACAACTATCTCACTTGAAAGGGGGTTCTATAGTGACATTAAAGATAGTATCAGCAGTAGCTCCAAAACAAAATTCATATCAGCAGCAGTTCAAAAATACTTTACAAGTGAACCCTAAAGTAACTTTCTTCTGGGTTTCTTTCCTCTTTTTAACTGTGTGATATGAACTTTCCATGCTGAAGCTAAAAGGGCTGTAAACACTTCTATACTAAAACACATCAACACAGTAAGTTCCCACTATAACATATTAATGAATATTTTGTTGTGTATACAATTTACATCTAACAGATGAAAGTCTTGTTTTAAACTTTCCTTTTGTTAATGTTCTTTTAATAAATGCTATCTTTGCATTGCAAATCAATTGGTCTGTTATTTTGTGCATGTACTCTTTTCACCATTATTCCCTGTGGTATAAAATGTTCCTGTAAGAAAACTTAGACATTTAATTATTGAAGTAACTACTCACTAAAATTGCATATCCTCTTCAGTTGTAGTAGGTAATATAAGTGTGAAACAAACCAAACCCTAAAAGTTTTTCTTAAAGAAAGAAAGCCATAATCACAAAGTCAGACATTGCTGATCATTTCAGGAAAGGAAAAGGAGCATATATTTTTTTTTTCTTTTATGAAATCAAAATAATAGTTATATGTTCATTTACTTATGTGTATCTTTTTAAGTTTTACATGAAAAATATATGCTACCTGGAGGAATCTTGTACACTCAGATTTAGAACAATTGCTAGAAGGAAATTCTTCCTCCTATCAAATGAAATGTACATTGAAATGAGACATACAATAAAACCAACAATGATGAAAATGTGTCCAGATAAATTGTGAGTTAATGATCAGTTTCAGAATTTTAAACACAGTATATACAAATATATTCTGTTTAATTTTTAATTGCT